TCTTTTACATTTAACTGTGTGGGACTGAGTGCAGTTGACCAGTCACTGAAGCCAGAAACAAATGCTGCTATGATGCAACAATTACTTACTGACAAAAGAAAAATGTTTGTTATAATGAATTCAAGTTTAAACAAAAGTGTTTCTTCCCACCATTGCCAAGCGCTTGCTCAGAGGGAGTCCAAAGGCAACTTTGGATTGTTGGGTTCTCTGTTTAAATTTGTGAGGTCTATACCGTACAATGTTAAGCGCTACGTGATGACATATGTTGTAAACTGCACTATACAAATAAAATTGAATTGAATGTGGAAGGCCTGCTGTGTAGCAGCAGGTGGTTTTATAATTATATCCAAAGCTATATGTCCTCTAGGTGTGATTACTCTGTGTCTTAGACATTGAAGGGAGAGTGTTTCTGAGACAGACTTGTCTCCGGAGAGAGGTGGAGGTGTGGCAGGAACAGAGTATGACCTGAAGAACGTGATACTCCCCACCTGCTAGTTTGTCCACAGCAAGGTAATTGACTTAATCACATATACGAAAACACTGATAAGATATGGGATTTAAAACCTTTATGTGATAAACCTATTATTGAACAACCAATATAAGAATATTGTCAAACTTGTGTCATAATCAATATCATCCCTGTTGTTTTCTCTCCTCTGTGTGATGGACAACCCTATTAGTGGATTCAGTCTAAGGCAAGGGCGTAGTTACTTGCAGAATGGGGATATTACCAGTTCAAGACCTAAACTTGGATAAGTAACAGCCACTAAATAATCAATATTCATGTCAGGGTATTTCTCATCCATTGGTTGATGGTGTGATAAGGGTTTCTTGCACTCAGCCCCAAAACATGATAGGTCTATGTAGCCACCAGAATACTAAGAGATTTGCTTTGAAGTGATGTTTTTGGCAGTTCGCCATTTATGCAGTTGGTGTTTGGTATGACAAGATAGTATGGAACAACAAATATGTTGTTTTCAGGGCCGATACTGATCACTAGTAATTAGGGAGACCACTAAACAAAATGTGTAACCAATATACATTTGTGATTGAAATTTTAAAAAATTTGGTGTCAAAATTCTAAATAACACAAACACCAATACAAAATGCCACTATTATTGCCTTTGTATATTTACGTTTGACATAGGTTTAATTAAAGGAGAATTTTTCAACATTTATCCTTCTGTGTTGCTATTATTCATTATGGGTAACCAATTAGATAGAACTGTGGACAGGACATAGCTTGAAACCACAGAGTGGTGACTACAGACGGAGTTAGGTGGCTGCATCAGAGCGAAACACATTTTTCAATTGTATCTTAACAGGAGTTGGTCACTGATCCTGCAGACAGAGGTCTTTAAAGGGATAAATGTGCTATAATCTACTTATCATGCACAATGTTTGCTGGTAAAGAAAAAAAAATGTAAATTAAAAAAATAATAATAATTACTAAGCCTAAGCACAAGCAGTAAATTGTAATTCTTGTTTTTCACCTAGTGTTTTAGATGTAACTTTATACAATAAAAAATGAAAACCAAACAGGGCTTGACATTTCAATTAGTTTCACCTGGATTGGAGGCATAAGCAGCAGCAGATCATCAAACATGCTCCTAAAGAAAAGAATGTACTGCCTTGGAAATCCCCATCCATGCAGTATAACTTGATGTAGTTGACTTTCCTGACTGATTTAAAGTGGTTATTTAATTTGCAAGGACAAAATATGCTCTATCATCCTGGTTTTTCCAGTTTGTTATAATGAAGATCAAGATCTGCTGCTAGTGAGTCATTCTGCTTCACTTGTCTCTGTTTTTCCAAGTGAACAGTCTTTGATGGTTTGTCACAGGTAGGCTCAATCCTCAGAGGTTAACACCAGTCAGCCTTCGTCCACACGCGAGTGAGTTCAACTGCCTTAGCATCAGCTAACTAAGTACATAGAAATCCCCAAGAAAGAGACTGAATCCTGATAGATTTTTTTTAAACTCCATTATTCTTAGTTTTTAGAACGAATTACCATAACACTGACAACATTTTTCTCCAAACAAGAAAACACTGTCACTTATAATACAATGATCCATAATAGAACTGACAGGTAGTAGCATTGCACTGTGCATTATGGATCTTTTTGAAGTTACTTTGTTGATTGTGCCACCACACAATATGTGTTACAAAAATTAATCAGACCTTTTACAGTATGCCCTCATAGGCTTTATTACTGTGAAGTATATCCAGCTATACAAAACAAAATAAACACTCATGTTTATACACACATTCATTTGTATATCATACATCTATTAGAAGACCTAATACAGGCAGGTGTCTAAAATGCACTCTGTTCATTTGTGGCTGTTCTGACTATTCGGTTTTTTTCCAACCTATTCATGCTGATCAAGTCCAGTCTAGTCTCTTTTGCAGTGTCTATGCTGTGTAAACCACCTGACAGAAAGGCCACCAGCATGTCCGGCCATTAAACCTGGTGATGGATAAAGCATAAAGGGCAACACACACACACACACACACACACACACACACACAGCTACAGGTGGCTCCATGAACAGATTTAGGTCTGTATTAGCTCTGAACTGGTGGCTTATGATGAAGATACCAGTTCCACACGTCATCAGACTCAGGCATTTCATTGCTTTAAAAGGGGCAAAAAATAAAATAGGTCAGTGCACATGGTGGGACTATTTGCTATGATGAATGTCACAACCGAAAGACAGAACATATAAGACTAAAATGTGCATTACTTGCAGTTCAAACCAAGGTTTTCATGTGAATGCAAATTTGTCGACCAAGCTACCAGGTGTGACACAGTTAGTTAAAAGAAATGAATTTATTGATCCCTCCAGGCTTTGGTTTTGACTTTTTTTCTTGTCCGACCAGTGTAAAAATCACAAACATACAACCATCAGGATTGTTTTTAGTGTTCAACAGTTCCACTTTCTATGTACCACTGCCCTCTGTTGGCAGAAGTTGTGAAATGCTGCTATAAACAAAGCACTGCACACTTTGTTGACCAATGATGTCAAAACAAATTAACTGCTAGAAAATTCACAGTAAACTAGCTTCTAAAAAAATGACTTAGTGCTGAATGTGTATACAGAACATACTGTTCTCACAATGTCTATTGGTGGATGTAATATTTTTCCATAATTTATTGCGAGCCTATGTTTGATGTAGGTTCAGCAGCAGCAACAGAGGAGAAAAGACAATAAATATTTTCAGCTTTGCTATATTGATGCTGTTGCTGTCATTAACTTGTTTTTTTTTTTTTCTTTCTTTTTAGTTAACTTCACAGAAATGTCTTCACTTTTAGCATATTTCCTCACTTGCTTTAGTCCTGCTTTCACCTTTGCTGTGCTCTCAGATCAAACAATTACGACAGGAACATGCAAAGGTGGACTGGTTAAATTCTCTTGACGTTAG